ATATATATATATATATATTTTACACATCATTTTTCACGAAAATTACGTACCATGAATGTGCAGAGATTGAAACACGTGTAAGATCCAAAAAGAAAAAAATATCGATTTTTGTTGAAAAAAATAGGAATTAATTCAATAAATAGAATAATAACCTAAAAGCAACGTAAATCAGGAAACGATAACGAAGAAAATTTGTTGGCTGGCATGAAGAATCAGAAAAATAGGTCAATTTAAATAATACAAGGATTACACGTGCGTGAAAATTGCAAGGATGTTCTCGTATTCTAAGGTAGAATACATTTACAGATATACATTATACGATTCAAAGTATCTATTAAAACAGATTATAATTTATTTTACAGTAAAAAAATATACCATTAACTAATTTTTTCATAATTGAATAATTTAAATTAATAATTTAATAATTCGCTGATTATTGAGAAAGAAAAATTCTAACAAAATAAATCTACTATTAAGAAATGGAAAAAAAAATCAAGATAAAGAAATGAGATTAGATTAACAAATATTTTACAAAAAAAGAAAGACCGTACATAAAATGACGTTAAGAACATTTTTCACAATTTAAAAAAAAATTATCTCAATGAAAGAAGAGAAACATTTCCAAAAAAAATATATATATATATATATTTTATCCTTCGATCAAAACATCAATAATGCAAAATTAACAAAAAAAAATATCATAATCTGAAAATACCCCATCGTTAAAACATCGGTTTCCGATACATCAATCCTGATATAAATAACGATAAATAACGGCAAAAATAGGCAAACGTCCCGAATAATTTCAAGCTATAGCGTGTAACACCTGTGTCTCGATGTCTGGAACCGTGAGAGACCGAGAAGCTAGGAGTGGAGCCTGGTCAGAGTACGCAAAAGGAGGAGGCAAGTAGGTCACTAGGTGAGTCGTGCTAAACAGTGCACGGGAGTGTCCCGACATTGACCTATATGTCTACTTTGTGTGTGCACTTGCCTTCCCCTTCCGTGACCCCTCCACTCTTCCCTCGCTCACCTCACGGCTCTCCCTTTCGCCCGATCCCTCTTTTCCGCCCCGCCATCCCCTCCAGCGACGCGCTTTCCAGCCAATTGCATATAGGGAGTCCGCTTACACTCCGAGTGCAACTTTCTCCCCACCACCGCGACGCCACCCCGGCGCCGGACCGTCCCGTCACCCTGGAGCAGACGCGATCGATGCCCCGACGCGACCGACCACCACCGCCGCCACCAACTCGAGATCCTCCCCCTGTTTAAATGTCCATCACTTAGAGCTGGTGGTTTTCTTGGTTTCGATAGTTCAAACATGGATCGAAGATATGGGTTATGCGGTATAGGGAAACGGGGATTCGAGTATTTGAACGTCCAGGTTTTTGGCTTGGAAAGCTTGTCTTTTATCTTTAAGGATAATAGTTGTGAAATTGGTCGACGTAGGATGGACAAGATTTTGCTAACATTTTTAACATTATGGAGGTTATGATTCGAGGTTAGGTTTTTAGGTTAGGTTATTTTCGAAAAAATGGTAATTAAAAAATTATGTATTTTGATTCTAGATCTCTACGCTCTACGTCTCCAGGATGCTATCTGCTCCGGGAAAAAGTCGGTAGTGGAAAATTATCGATAGTTTCGATTAATAAATCATCGCGAGAAACCGTTTCGCTGTTGAAGCGAAATATAGATGCGCGCTCGTAGCCTTGCGGAAATATAAATAGCGAGGACGGTAGAAAAGGAGGAAAAAACTTGAAAGAGTCAGTCACACTCCACGTGTTTTTCTCACGACGTGTACCGAGCGGCCAACGTCGACGACGACGACGAC